TTGCGCGCCCAAATTCAGCACATGAGCAAAACACCGGATATGCTCAAAGGTGGTTTTAATTTCGTACTTGGAATTTAAAAAATCCATAAATGAATTATTATTGGAAGCATTATCTAAGGTAATGCCCATTCCTTTGCTTGTAAGACCGAATTCAATCAAAACTGACAAGAATGCATTAGATAAATTTGAACCTGAATGGGAATCAGGCAAGGATTTGAAATCAAGAGTTTTGGCATCTAGGTTCCAGTCTTTGTCAATGTAATGAGCCGTTATGCCCATAAAAGCAATGTTGTTGGGTGATGTCCAACAGTCAGTGGTGAATGAAACCTTTGAGTCAAGATTCAAAAAAAGGGTCTTTAGCAATTGTTTTTGGTGTTGTAAGTGTCCATTATCTGGCGTTTTAATTGGCGCGCACTCATGATTGACAAATTTGGTTTCAGTTGAGTGAGTAGTTTACGAAAGTGGCTGGACTCTACCTCATTAAATGATTGATCATTCTTGACAATCCAGCTAACTAAGTATTCATTGAGTAGATCTGGAGAATAAACGATTGGTGTCATTATCATGTCATCTAAACGTTGTTGCTTTGGTTCTCTGTCCCCAAGTAATTTGCTTTTGTGTTGAGAATTTAAATGGTTCATTAGATTTGTTGTCCCACCTTTATTGTAAGCATACTTGTTCTTGTGCTTTGGACAATGCTGGCATATGGCCTTGGTTTTGTCATGCTCATCAACTGTGAAATGATCCCATACAATTGATTGTGAACGTTTGGTGGTTTTTGTAACAGAAGAAGATTCGGGTTCTGGATTATCCGACATAATTAGGAATGTATATTTGATTTCTTTCAAAACAATAGTTTGGTTAGGGGTACTAATTAATCATTCAATCAATCAATCAATATATATTTCTGAAATAGATACATTTCAAGGTTGTTTACAAATAGTAAATATACTAATATTAAGTAAACACCTAATGAAAATGATTAAAATAATAATGGTTTAAATAATAAAAATAATATTAATAATAATGATAACAATAATAATAATTATATATAAGTCACTTGTCTTTATAAATACAATAGCTACATAAACAAAGTTAGACAGTTACAAACAGTTACAACTGATAAAACGTAAAAGTAAACAATGACATATAGCAACTATTATAATGAAAAACAAGGAAAAATAATTAATGAAAATAAGAATAACGAATATTAAAATAGAAATAATCATAATATAGTTTAAAAAAAAAAAAAAAAAACATACATAAACAGATCAAATTTACAAAAACAGCTACAGTAACAGCAAACAATACAAACACAATAACAACAACAACACAAGTTTTCACAAACATACTACAAACAAAACGGCAAACTTAAACCGACAAAAAAAAGATTAACAAATAAATAAATTAGGAAATCTACCTGAAACCTGGAAATATAAAAATAAGTTATAGTAAAATTAAAAAAAAAAATTCTTTGCTTTCAAGCAAGCCATTATTATATTTTTTTATTATTTTCTTTTTTCGAATGATTGTTTCTTTCTCTGAATGTTTTTCGATTCGTTATTGTTTTACTTTTTCCATTTTTATTGTGGTTAAATTGTATTTGCAATTTTTTCTTTTCATTTTTACATATATTTTTTTCTAGGTTTTTTCTTTTAATCTTGTACTTTGTTTACATTTCTTTTCTTTTTTTCTTTCTCTATGCTCTTTACTTTCTCTTTAATATTAACAAACTTTAATTAAAAACTCTTTTTTTTTTTTTTTTTTTTCGTTATTGAAAGGCGACCGCCATTCCGGAAACCACTGCAAAGACCCCGGAATAAAGTGTTATATATGTTTGCGGGCCTGTAAAATTTGGCGTTTTTTTTTCAAACGCAAAAATTGAGAACAAAGTGAATATTTGAAAATCAAATCCAAATCCTCCAGATATTTGTCAAATCAAATTCAAATCTATCCCCTCAAAGAACAGTTCAAATTCAAATCTTTAAAGGTTTGACGTATATTTGACTTTGCCGAACACTAATAAAAAGTATGAAAAGCTTTAACTTATATAGCTACTAAGTTTATCTGTTGTTACTAAGTTGTTTTTCTGCTATTTTGGTGACATACGTTACAAGATATTTAAGCGTTTATTGTTTTTCATCAATCAAAGTATGAAAGATCTAAAGACTCATGTAGTTTTATTAAAGTAATTATTATTTCAACTTACATTTATCAGTTGTATCCTGATAATTAAGGGTTGAATAATAATAAATCTTGTAAAATATTGTACTCAAAAACAAAAGAGAAAATAAAAGAAATACAGGTATAATTATTAATGTCTAGTTTTTTAAATTATGTTAGGTTATTTTAGAGCATTTTGCAAGTACAGAGTGCTCAATGTTCTAAAGAACAGCAATAATAAAATAGTTAAAACACTTATCTAATTTTTGTCATCAACTTCAAAAACTCATCTAACCAGGAAAAAAGATTTCTTCCTGGTTAGATGAGTTTTTTTACTAATATATATATATATATATATATATATATATATATATATATATATATATATATATATATATATATATATATATATATATATATATATATATATATATATATATATATATATGTATATATATATATATATATATATATATATATATATATATATATATATATATATATATATATATATATATATATATATATATATATATATATATATATATATATATATATATATATATATATATATATATATATATATATATATATATATATATATATATATATATATATATATATACAGTGGCGGAACTTCAAAATTTGGGCCCCCCCGCAAAAGAATGTTTTTTTTGCGGAAAAGAGTTTTATAGTATAAATATTATTGAGAGTATAACTTTTTTTATATGAGGGCCCCCTATAGCTGGTAGGCCCCCCCCGCAACGCAGGGTCCTGCGTCCAGTAGTTCCGCCACTGTATATATATACATTACTATTTACTGTCTAAGGAACCTTCGGGTTGAGTTACACTAACATAGCCCACCTAATGATTCATACAACAATGAATGAGGTGTTTACTTTGCAAATATGTTACAAGCCTCAGGCATTTTGCAGAGGGTAATTAAGAATCAAAGGGTGCATACTGATTTACATTTGTATCTATCTATTTGTGTGTGTGTATATATATATATATATATATATATATATATATATATATATATATATATATATATATATATATATATATATATATATATGAATGTTAATTAAGAACTGATATCTATAAAAATAACTATATAAGATTTATTGTAGATAATAATATTATTATTATATTAACTTCCTAAAATATTGCTTCTTCAACCCTCAGTTCTTTTCTTTTTTTGCACCCATATGCACAACACTCTGAACCTCAAAGATCTTTTTTTAATCTGCACATTATTGTTTTTTAACTTAGCTGAAATCTGATATTGCATTTAAAACGATTAGTCGAAAAACTAAGCCAAAGGCTTACTTAAAGGTTTTTTTAAAATGAAAATAATAAATAAATTTTTTAAAAGGCTTACTTATTTTTTAAAAGGCTTACTTATTCAAATATCTGGGCTTTCCAATATGGCGATTTTCGCGTCAAAAAATTCAAAAATTTTGTTCAGAGTTGCGCTATCCAGTTATTATAGAGATAAGTGGTTGCGCTATCCAGTTATTATAGAGATCAGTGATGCTCGCGCATAAATGGTCTGCAGATTCTAAATTCGAGCGGGAAATCCGAAAAAAGATGCACCAAGGTAGGTTAAAAAATTAAAAAAAACGGACCTAGAAAGTTTGTCATAAGTTTAGCGCATGCATTTCTGCTGAAAGTTTAATCCAAAAAACGTGGAGCAAATCATTTTTTTCAAGTAATCCAAATAAAATTTTTTTTATGTACATAAATAAAAATAAAATAAAAATAATAAATATGTATATATATATGTTTGCTAATGTAGGCGCTTCTCCTGCATCTAACATTGTACAGTCAATTAGAGTGTTTGATGAATACTTGAGAAAGAAATCCGTGGCTAGCATATGTAATGAAAAAATAAATAAACACGAGCTTAACAAGGCACTGCTTGAACTAAAGCGTAACAAGTTATGTCGATATGACGACATAACCAGTCGTGTAGCTATCTATGTTATGGGTTGTAACAATTATTTATGGAAAGTATGGATAAATTATTATGGATAAAAACATTTTAATTGATAGCATTTCATTTGAAAATTATGTATTTTCCGATAAATTAAAATTCACTCATTTTTTAAAAAAAGTAATTGTTCTTTAAAAAAAGGTCTAAAAAAAGGTGTTAGTTTACAACTGCCGCCCCATATCACTACCCCCTATCTTTTCAAAAATATTTGAAGGGGAAATTTTTAATAGAATTTATTACATGACATTAAATATGCTTTTATACAAAAATCAATTTTTATAAAAATCTCTACTGAACATGCTATTATTGAACTTGCCAATAAAATATCAATATAAAATATTAATATTTATGTATCATTTTTCTGATATTTTTACATCAGTTATTTCTCGAAAATACAATTTTACCAAATAACATTTGAGCAGAGTAAAATAACTAGGGTCAAATTTCAATTATGAGCCAAGAGCCGTCATAATGGAATCAATTGAAAAATAACAATATGAAAAATTCGAAAAGCACTTTCTCTTTTAAATGACAAATGAAAGTGCATCTCCTTAATTTTTGATATATAAATTTTTATATATATTTTCTTATACTTCTGTATCTTATATATATTAAATATACATATTTGACATGCTACAGCATGTTTACTTTAACGTTGTTAGACTAAATGATTAGTATTTATACTGCAACCGAGTTTTTAATGTATATTCACATTGTATATTTTTATATATATTCTTTGTGTAACGTAAAGTTTTTATTATTTATTTTTATATGAACATCAAAAAGTTTTTATTATTTATTTTTATATGAACATCAAAATACTAAAAATAATGACGGTTAGCGGTATAGAAAGGCTGCATCTTTCGCTCATCAGCATCATCCGCTTTCCGCATTTTGCTTATCAGCATCATTCGTTAACTGTTCTGCTCTGCCGATTGTACCTACCCCGAGTCTGTTTATAATATTTCCACAAACATTTTGAAACATTTAAATAAAAAATTATGGAGCTTAATTCAAGTTTTCTTAACGAAGCAGATATTATAAATTCACTTGCAAATGAAATAAAAAATTCTATTGATGTAACTTTTAGCCAAACTTCTTCAAAATCTGAAAGAGAGGATGCTTACAAGGTAAATACTGCTCAAGCTAATTATATTTCATAATTTCATATTAATTTTTAAAAACAAATCATACCTCTTAATTAGTTTATTTTTCAAATGTATTAGTGGAATAGATTCCACAAGCTATTTGCTGAGTCACGTTTTAAAATTTAGGAGTATATAAGTATATAAATTAAATATTATAAACATTTCAAGATAAAATTTGATTACTTTAAATAATTTTTCGAATGATTAATGTATTTATTTAATCGGTATTATATTAAAGATAACATAATAATTATAAAAAAAAAAAAATTTAACAAAGTTTAAATTTAAGCTTTTCTAAACATTTTAACTAATTTTTAAAGATCATTCATTATTATTGTTATTATTATTATTACTCTTATATTATTATCATTAATATTACTAATACTTTTATTATTATTAATATTACTATTATGCTATAATTTACATTATCATAGGCTGATATATATGATGATATAAAAATTTAAAAGATAATTGTTATAAAATCAAAGTAACCTGGAAATGGGAAACCTGGACAAAACACCAGTTTTCATTGTTTTGCTAAAGCTGTAGAAGATGCCACCATTCCACTGAAACTTTGATTTTTTGAGAAAATTGTATGACTAATTATTACTTTTTAAACTGACAATCCAATGTTGCAGTTTCTTATTAAATCACTAGACAACATCTTATGTAATTTATACAGCTTTTTGAAGAAGGATGTTTTAGATAAGGCAAACTCTATATATAAGCTGTTCAAAGTTAAGTTAACTGATAAAATTAATTAAGTATTATTGGATTTTGTTGTTCTTAGTTTTTCTTTAAAACATTAAACTTTTTTAAAAAAAAAATAAAAAGGAAAATTGAGCAATAAACATTTAAGCAATCTTCAGTGCTTTACATTTCTTTTATGTATGCATTTTACAGAACAATTTTATTTCATATGTATGTATTTTAATGAAAAAGTATATTGAGTATATTAATGAGTATATTAAAGTTTATTAATATGTGACTATATGTAAAAAAAAAAAACAACTTTGAGACTCACAGTTTTCCAATGTTAAAACATTTGCTATTTTATGTCAAATCTTTTTGTCAAAAATATTAATATTCGCTTGTTCATATACCTAAACTGAAATTGAGCAAGATAAAAAATGAAAAGAAGATTGAGATTGCTTTTAAAATTCAAGCAATATAAAAGTTGCCTCTTTAAAAAAACTATTATTGAACTTAATAAAGATGCTGATAACTTTACATTCAAGACAAAAAAACAACAATGATATCACAATTTTATCTGAATGTGATTCCTTTAAAATACCTGCAATTGATAAAGGTAGTAATTTAAGTGAATTGAAATGCAAGAAAGTAAAGTTGGTAGAACTTCTTAATCAAATTCATTAATAACATATTTATAAGTTGTTTTTATTATTTCATGTAATAAAGTTGCATTTGCAATTGTTAGAAATACCCATTACTGGCCTGCAACTAGATAACATTTAGAAGAGCATTGAGTTGTAAAATATTGCTATAGCAAGTCCATGTCATTTAACATGAAAAATAGCATTGTTGAAATCTGTCTAAAATACAAGTGTTGACACATGGACGTTAAACCTATAAAAAATAAAAAATCCTTGAAAAGCTTTTATTTTTATTCAAAATATTATATGAAAAAAAATCTCCAAATTAGATGCTAAAAAATCTAAAATCCTTTAATATCCTCTTTTTCTTATAAAAAATTTCGGTGGCTACCTTAAAAAATATTTTTTGGTACATTCATAAGATTTTATTAAAGTTATAAAAAATATTTTTAAAATTAAACTTATGTATCCATTTACAAGTATTTATATGTTCAAATTGCTTTAAACAGTTTTGCAATTTTTTAAATTAAGACAAATATTTTGTTATATATATATTTATATATATATATATATATATATATATATATATATATATATATATATATATATATATATATATATATATATATATATATATATATATATAAATATATATATATATATATATATATATATATATATATATATATATATATATATATATATATATATATATATATATATATATATATATATATATATATATATATATATATATATATATATATATAATGCGCTTTTGTTAAGCGCATTATTCAGACCAGTATTTGGAACTTACCTGAAACTTAACTAAAATTAAAATAAAGTTATATGTAAT